AAGTATTGCCCTGGTCTGAGAAAAGTGTATTTTTGTCACCATTTCCCTCATGTCTCCTTATGGAGAGATGTGCCGTTGTGTCTAGATCACGATGATTAGCTGGGGCTTTGAGCCAAGTTGGTCAGCACTGCTGTGGGGCTGACCTCTTTTTGCTGCTGGCAGCTGGGGTGGATGTTACAGCTTTAAGGCTTTTTCTGGCAGGGAGAAGCTATGAGGTTTCAAGTAGAGCCTGTGAAAGAGCTGCCACACCTGAGGCAGGAGTGAGCCGAGGTCCCAGAGCTGCAGGGAGCCGAGCAAGCCTCAGGCTCAACTCCAGACCCAAGTTCAGGGTGACCTGCCCAGGTGGGTGTGGGCGGCTCCCTTTGTTCTGACTTAAGCAGTCCTAGGTTGCATTCCAACGTATTTTCCCATACATCTTAATTCTCATAAGGTGGAAAAAAACCCATTGTTTCAACTTCTGTCTTGCATAGATCTCACCAACAATGCCAGGGATTCATCTCTGTCTCAATAAAAATAGAAGAGATACAGAACTGAGGGGGGGAAAACAGTGCTCTAGAAATATGTTCAGTGTCATCAAGACCTGCCCTCTGCGGCTGACTCCCTCTCTTACTAGGGAAAGCTGAGCAGCAACCAGTCAAATGGCCAGCCAACGAGGAGGTACTTTCCGTGGAGCCCTGCTCTCCTCAGGCAGCCCTCTGCTGCTTTCACAACTCCCTGCAACCCCAGGCCTTGCTGCTCTTCAGGTTTGGCAAGTATATGGAATAACAAGTGCCTTGCAGGAAAAATGACATTCCCACCACCCTCAAGTCTACCACAGCATATCCAATAAGCACTGACTGAGAGCAATAGCTCTAGTGGCTGAGTCTGTGTAGTTTTAAGACACCACCAGCATAAAGTCAATTTCCTTAGCAATGCTATCCACATTCAAACATGATCTAGTGTGGTGTCTGCCTCTCTGAAAGCCACTTTCCCAGCCCAATGCAGGAATTCTCTAGCAAAACCCATGTGCTTATCATGAGTGCTTATCCTTGTTTTCCTGTCACTGATCCATCTGTCTGGAAAGGGAAAAGGATCCACAAACCTTTAACTCGCCATTTTGTCAATGCATCAAAGACAAAATCTGTTCTTTGACTTTTACTTTCTTCTCACACAGGAGGTCAGTTACCCTCCTTGCTGTTAGTTGTGAACTTCCTGGTGGAGAATGAGCATGCAGGGACTCTGGGGATACCTGTGAAACTTAACACTTGATGTGAATTCTAGTCCTCATTTGTCTAGAACTCTGGACGTTGTTTGCATGAATTAGTTGAGAAGGAATCTAGCGTGCAAGTAGTCTCTGGAGGAGGAGCGAGAGCGGGGCCTTGCTAAAGGTGTGTGTGCAAAATCAGTTGGCTAGAAACCCGTCTTCCTTTTGGGCACACAATACCAGGAAAGTCTTAGAGCTGGTGGTTCTTTTCTAGTTGAACTACAGAATGGAATTAGGTAGCACAGTACTTGTTAATTCCAGACACTATTTCAACCAAGGAAATAAAACCTAGTTCACACTTGGGGAGGTAGAGAAATGACCAAAGGGAATTGGTGCTCTGCCTTCTTAATAATTTAATTAGGCCGACCTCAGTGGTCTGGTCTTAAGCCATCCAATCCTCAGCTAGTGGCTGAAGCAGTCATTGAAACAATGGGCCCATGTCTCAGAGCCTGGCCCCAAACTTGCCCAGTCTGACCTGAGGCTATGTAAACAGGGCAGGATTGGTCAAAGTCAACTAGGATTTTAAAACCCATGTGGGGTAAAAACAGCTTTAGCACTGTAACAAACCACCATGCAAACCCAGGTGACAACACAGACCCAGACTTGCTGTTGAATATTTTAACACAAGCTCCTTAATACAAAAACTATAGAAATGAATTGTCAGCATGTATTGTAAATCTAAATGTTTCAGCCCTCAGAGTTCTGCCACAAAAAAAACAAAAAAACTTCAGCATAGACTGGTTGTTCTACTTGCCCCAACAGAGCAGGGCCAACCAGTTATGCTTTTCATACCAGCACAGGATGGTTTTATTGGCTTTCAATATTCAGCAGTTTATTCAGTGGGAAGCTCCCAATGTGAAGGTCAATTAAAAGTCATTCACATAAGAGAGATGAGTAGCTGAATACACTGGCTAGGAAAGCAGTAACTTGGAGAAAACCTCAGTGCTGCTGGGCAGTCGAACCAAGGATATCTGCAGGTCAGACTGATGGTTGTCTGGGTATCTTAAGCTCCTCTATCTTCCTTTGGCCACACATTGGAACATCAGGCTGCCTCAACCTGATTGCTTTCCTAGTGCTAAAAGGCAAGGCAAAATGAAGACTCCTTCCCTTACGAAGCTGAATGCTGGCCTGGTAGTAACATTTGCATTTCAAATTTTTGAGAAGGGAAAACACTGAGCCTGGACTTACAGTCCAATCAGCTCTGTTTTTAGATGGAAACATCCTCATGAGAAGATTCGACTTATATATCAGCTTAATATTGGTATTAAGATACTGTGTAGGGTTAATTTGATCTCAGAACCCAGCTCCATACATTAATCAGGATATGGAGCCATTGTAGACAATTTATATTTCAGAGTTCCAGTTTCACCAAATTATTTTGGAGTGGCAATTTCCTCTATCATTTTCCCTTTCTCTACAAAGGAAATAATTACAACAGATTTCCAATACTACGAGGCCATAGACCATAAAGATGTGCTGAGCACCAAATGGCCATGGGTTAAAATAAAATTGAGCCAAGTTTGAATGAGGTCTGGAATATAAGATAATCTGAAAAAAATGCTTAAAAGCTCAACTATTGAAAATTATTTAAAATTGATAGTCTTCACCAAGAGTCGCTGTGGTTTCCTGCTTCAGTAGTGCTATAACAGAAGAAGCTGGAGCTCTTCCCTGACCCTGCTGGCGGCTGCTCAGAGCCTGCCCAACCTTCCAGCACCTCCTCACAGCACCCACGGGCTACTTCAAGGCCTGGCCTCTGCCTCTCAGCTGCCAGCCATGGTGACCACGGGCCCCTCACAGGTGTGTCAGAACTTCCACGGGGACTAGGAGGCTGCCATCAGCCTGGAGCTTTCCACCTTGTCTACCAGTCCATGTCCTACTACTTTGACGATAATGATATGGCTTTGAAGAACTTTGCCACATATTCTTCACAGGAGAGGGAACACACCGAGAAACTGATAAAGCTGCAGAACGAGCGAGATGGTCAAATGTTTGTTCCTTCAGGGTGTCAAGAAACCAGAACGTGAGAACTGGGAGAATGGGCTAAACGCAATGGAGTGTGTTACACTTGGAAAAAAGTGCTAATCAGTCATGACTGGAACTGCATAAACTGGCCAGACAAAAATGACCCTCATTTGTGTGACTTGAGACTTATTACCTGAATGAGCAGGTAAAATCCATCAAAGAACTGGGTGACGACGCAGTCAACTTGCACAAGAGGGGGGCACCTGAATCTCGCATGGCAGAGTCTGACAGGCACACCCTGGGAGAGTGACAACTCAGAGCGAAATAAATTTGGTACCCCAACCCACCCCTTGAAAAAACTGATAGACAAAACTTTCAAAAGACACTGAAAAGCTTGTTATTCCTGAGCCCTGTCATTTGATAGAATGCTGCTGTCATCATACTGTCCACTTACTGCACTAATTTGAAACTCAACTGAAGATAGGAAAGGAGCAAGGTACTTTTCAACGGGTTCTGCCAGTGTAGGGACATTTCATATGCTGCTGTCACTATATTAATATTAATAAGCTCTCCTTTTTTTGGTAATAGTAGCCAAGGCAATAACCTCTCTCTTCAACTCCTGGCCTAGGTCTATGATGATGTAGTTCCACTGAAGCCATCCAACACATATGTGTTTGCACTGCTTGAAGAAATGCCCGCCACATACTTCCTGAAGCAGACTTAAGATTTGTTGTGCCTATGCGTGTTTTTTATTTCTAACATTTCTGCATGCATTTGTAGTTTCAACAACTACTTGAGGAAAACTCTTAAACCTTGAATCTAGAAATGTTATAATTGGCTTTTAAAGGTAACAAAAATCGTGCATCTCCCTCCACAGCTTCATTGCATACATTAACAATTTGTGTCTACCCTGGGGAAGAATGGTATAGTTTTGTTAAAGAATGCCAGAAATGACAGTGAAGAAGGTTCCAAAGATAAGACTAAAGCTGAATAGTAGCCCATCCTGGACATATACCAAGGCTGAAGACTAATTTCAGTGCATCAAAGATGCAGAAATAAGAACGCCTGCCCATCCCACCCTGGCTCTCTTAACCAGTACTGACTGCTCTGCTGGTGCCAACTACAAGGACACACCTCTGCACAGAAAGGCCACTCCAGCTCCACTTTACTTAGGTCTCATGGGATTCCTAGGAGGCTTTTTGATAAAAGCATCTACATATCAGTTTATTTGGAACAAATGCTTTGTGTTATAGAACTAAACTGTTACACAGACTTGATCTCAGTAGAAATCCCATTTTCCTTTTTAATAACAAGTGTCCAGTCCCATTTTGACTCTAGAATTGTAGGTAGAGAACAAGGTTAAGAAAATGGGTGACATTTTAATCCAGTAATCAAACATGGGGCGAATTCCAGAAAACTGTAGAGAAGCTGACTTTAGCTAAGGGCACACTAATCTATGGAACACATGAGCCAGCATCTAAACCTATCTCAAAAATCCATGTTTCCAAACATATCGTAGCTTTGTAGTGCTATCAGGTCAGTGATAAACTTTCAGCAATCTGAACAGACATGATGTGACAATATACAATGTCTGCAACAATTATGTATGTTCAGTAAATACTTGCCAACTTAATACAGTAAGACCACTTACAGCCACGTCACCAAGTTTCCAAGCCTCCTATAATGTTCAAGAAATAAAACCATCCACATGTGGAAGTTCCCAACAGGCTGAATATGTAACAATGAAAGATATGGAGGATTAGTGGCAAGACTTAATCAAGACAGCAATCAAAGATTACAAATCTATAGTTTTATTAAGACAAAAACTGACACTGTGGTATGAAGTTTACATTTAAAGTTTTCACAGAAACCTAACACGTGCCTAAAGAGATTTTACAATGGCTTTCTAGATGCAAGTCTACACTATGTCAAAAACTGATGGATCTCGTGATTCAAGACAGCATTTTGTGTATTAGTTAATGCTTAGGATTAAAAAAATTTTTGTTTAATGTTTTAAAGTGAACCACTGGCCCAGTATGAAAGTTTAATCTCCTGAGACCAGGGCTTTTGAAGTCATTCAACTCGATGTGATTCAATGAACTTGTGCTGTCAGTGACTGAACCCTGACACCAATGGTTTCAGAGTCCAAAGTTCAGAGAGGCTCCAAGAGTTTTCCTCCCTAAGAGCATGGCCCTTGTCTTTCTCTACTCCTACTTCCTCCCACCCTCTTCCCTTCCCTAAACACCTCAGCCAATGGCTTCAATGGGCAAGCTGATTATTAACTTTATAATTGGAAAAGAAAGGGTCTTTTATCAATTTCAAGAATTAGCACCTCTACGCCAGGACAATGTGCCTGTGTATATGCTCCAATAAAAGACTTGTCCTCCTCAACCAGTTTCCATCCCCAAAATGGCAGCTTTGGTAACTTATTACTGGCTTAGTCCTTTGCTGGGAATAGCTTTAAGCTCAGGCAGGGCACACCTTGGCTTGTAAGTCTGAGGCATTCACAGCTTTTAAACAGTCTCTCGCAGTCCTCACTTAGGTTGCCAATGACATTTTTTGTGAAAAATATGCTGGCCATAGAACCGAACCATCATTGGTTGTTCTTTCCATTGTTTCAACCATTTCCCTAGTCAGGCCCCAAATTTTAAGAAAAATGATCCTACCCATCTCCCTTCCTTCCCATCCCACCCTTCCCACCCCAATAATATATCAGTAATAGCCAAAAACTACACACATGCTACGCTGTAAAAATGCAGAGTGAACACTATTGGGAAGAAGGCTGTGGGTTGTGGAGATGCTCTTTGAAGATCTACAGTATTTTTTGCTCTCCCACATACCCATTCTGCAAGTTTGTCCTTCATAGAAGGCCCTTTGCTTTCCCAGCAAAGTGCAGAATGGGTTGCCTTGAAACACTTGTCCTCCTTCCCCTCCACTGGGATGGGTGTGCAAACCATATAGCACAGAAAGGCTTTAAAGCACTTGAGCTGCTGTAGGGCACAGAAACTATACTGGCTCTTCAAAGGACATCTTCTCAAGCCACCTCTATGGTGTCAAGACAAGTAGAACTTCTTCCCTCCCCACTTGAAACCCACAGTCAAGATGTGACAGGGGCTGGTACTCAGAAAGTTAATTCTTGTCATCTTTTTTGTCATCATCCTCTGACGGGTAGGAATGCCACGTCAGCCTTTCCTCATAGAAGGATATGACAACCTGTGGGCACTTGACATTGGCTTCCTTGGCAGGGACCAGGTCAGCCTCATCAGAGTTTTTCCTGCAGAACAAAAGCACAGACACACTTTAAGTCCAGATGCTGGTGGTCTTCTAACTTATATCACCCCAGGGACAGGGCTTTAAAAATATTAACTCCAGAAGAGGCTAGGGAAGGGTGACAATGTGGCCCAAGCATCATTTACTGACAGCTTTTAGTCAAGTGACACCCTCAGAGATTGTCTCCTATTGAAAATGCCCTCTGGGTATCCATCAAAAGCTAGGTCACCTAATTCAACCTATCATAGCTGAACCTCTGGAAAAGGCTAGGCAAAGCATAACTCTCAGATTCTGTGGGCAGAATAGAGTCTACCACACTCTTCCAAAAGCCGTATCACAGCTGCTAAGGGCCCATGCAGAGATCTTGGCTTTCTAACAGGATTTAATACCATTTGGATAATAAGACTCAATACTAATCTGGCAATGGCCTGAGCCCATGCAGGTGGACACGTTCTTGTGATTCATAATTATACTGTTTAACAATACCAACTGCCATGCTCACACAGATATTCCACAACTCCCATCTGAAAGGGGCTTCAACACTGGGAGGCAGAAAGGGACCGTTACATAACTCTCTGTATTTTTGATTTTTGAAATGTTTTCAAAATTTGAAAATCACATACATATTACAAGGAACTTAGGAGTAAGCCCCCTATCTTCAGGTCACTGGGAATGTCCTGCATGGAAATAGTGGCACAGGCTAGGCAGCAGAGACAGATGATGGGACCTCTCATAAGGCACCACCCAAGACTTCCAGAATCCCAGCAACAGGCAAACCGAAGTCACAGCCCCATGGAACCACAGAAGAGTACACTGGTAAGATATGTTGTGAACAACAGACTCGAGTGGGAGGGAAGAGTAGTATAAATTAGGGGGGCCTAAAGCAGGCTGCCCCTTGTTGACAATTCAACATCCTCTGAGGTAAATTCAGTCATTGTGAAAACATTGTACAGAGAAATATTTGCTATTTTTGGAAATGAACCACTTTCCACTCTCTAGGAAAATCACTTTAAAATGAGCTTGGTTTTATAAAGAACTTCCAATTGTATCTTAACATTACATTCAGCTATAATCTTTACATACAGCATAGAGTCAAACAAAGTGTAATCTTAAACAATATGGAGATACTACTCTAACTCAGACTGGTCACATGCAGAAAAAGTGCATTTTAGTTGGAATGAATAACTCCTGGTATCATTCTTTCCCCCCATATGCAGCACCTTAAAAATTTAATTTTTCTCCTACAGGCTAGCAATAAATTAGCTACAAGGAGGTCAGATTCACTAAACACTTAGGAAATGTGTAGAAGAAAATAAGGATTTAGCTAGTTGTGACACAGGATTTCAGTGGTGAAAAGTTGTGGCCTCTCTGGCCATCTTCTAAAGGAGAGGAATCAGTACAGATTATGAATTTCAGAGAAAGTTCTAGACTAGCAGAAGGATGAAGCCCCTAGAATGCTGCCTTTATTGGCAAAGGCTTAAATTATTCACTCCTAATTTATATTTTAAGGACAATGATTGAGATCCATTATGGGGGGGGGGAAGTATAAGCATTTCAATAAGCAAGAAAAAAGGAAAAAAGCTTTCTCTTTAGACAGAGTAGGGAAATTAGAGAATTTTGGGTTATTACAGTTCTTAAGATTCTCAAGACAACTGCTTTCATTAAGCTGTTTTGTGGAGTACTACTACTACTACTATTTATACTTACAATGGAAAAAAGTAGGCTTACTCTAAGCTCATTATAGTAAAGGGCCCTTGCTGACCCCTGCTGGATGACCCTGGAATTGAAGAATCTGCACAAATTGCAAAGGATCTAATCAAGGACAAAGAAGAGCTACAGAAATTCTTTCCTAATCCTGAGAAGGTAACAGAATTTCTGATGCTGGGGCCAGCCCGATCTTTATTAAGGAGGTGGCAGAAGGGGAGGGTGGTTCGATCACATTTCATACTTCCCCCCCTTCATTTACAGAAGTGAAATGTGATTCCTCCCCATACCCTCTCCACTCTAGATTTTCTCCAACCTCCTAAAAAAACGGGCAAAGATCTCTGAGAATCCTAAGGGCCCCTACCTGTAACTCATGGGTCCAGGTTGGCAGTCAGGCCGAGGGTCACTATCGAAGGGCTATGCCATCTTAAAGATTTCACACCTGGGCGACTGGTCCAGCTCTTTCCCTCTGGCATGGAACAGATGGGGAGAAGAAAAAAAACAACCACACAGAGCTACTGGCAGACTCACCATTTCATCAGGAACATGAGTTCTCCACTGGAGTCTGTAGCTCCAATAATCCTCTCCGGCTCCAAACCCCGGGCAAAGCCTCGTGGTTTTTCTGACTGTAAAAACAAGATGGACGGAATGATTTTAACTGTATGGGACTGTTACCCAGACTGAATTGTCCCTCCGATTAATGTAATCAAAAACTCTTTTGCCAATATTTCACTAATACCTTGCCTCCAAGTCATAGGCCTTTTAGAATTCTTCTGAGTGGTTATTCCATCAAGGTCTGAAGTGCTTGAGGTTTTCCCACACATGAAAAGGGACACACATCAAGCAAAATAATGTTCACAACTGTTTCTTCAACCTCAAAAGAATGTACTAAGGAGCCCCACCTCAAATCTGTAATGATCACCAACACCAAAAATTCTCACTTGCAGGTATTGTTCCTGAACCTCGAGTAAGAGTAGATTATGCGGCTTCATGAGTGAGCCCCCAAACATTTTGTAAGCATTAGACTTTCCAAGATTCCAGAAGGATTGAGAGATAGCTGTGAGGTCCAAGAAGCAGAGGAAACCAAAGAGCTTACATTACCTGGCTTTGGCTTCTTCGGCAGCAGTGTGAGTTGAGCTAGTACAAATTCTTACTTACCTCTTCTTTCTTCTTCTTTGGTTTGCTCTCCTCTCCCTTATCTTCAGAATCCGAGTCAGCTTTGCGCTTGCCTCCCTCTGACTTATCTGTCTCATGTGCTGTTTTCTGGGACTGTAAAAACTCAGCAATGAGGTCAGGGCAGTCCAGGTTCTCTTCTGGCTCCCACGTGTTGTCCTCACTGAAACCAGAGGGCACAGTGAATCACACTTTTCACTCAAAGTTAGCATCCTCATACTAAGGAGGCACACAGAAGAGCAAGCACTGGTATTCTTTGAAAAGAGGAGTTAATGATAATGAGGAACTAGATTGGTCTAAGACCAAGAACTTGGCAAAGCTGAAACTGACTGAGGGGCAGTGGGGAGCTTTATACAAATTAAAAGCTCAGAAACTTGCCTCCTTCAAAGGAAGATTACTTTCTCTTTGCAAACTTGGATCAGTCTAAGGCCACACATACAACTACTCCTCAGAAATCACTGCCTTGCATTATAGCAATTTGTACATGCACATCGTTTTCCTAATTAAGACTATAAGCCATGAAGGCCAGGCCTGAGTCACAGTGTACCATCAGAGCACTTTAGGCCCTGTACATTACCAAACTCCTGAGAAACAGTGACTAAGTGAATTGATTTATCTGCACCAGTGAGACTTACTCTGAGAACCCCTTCCACTTAAGGAGGTATTCCACTTTGCCCTTTACCACTCGGCGGTCGAGAACTTTTTCCACCACATATTCCTCTTCCTCCTCCTCTAGCACTTCCTCCACTTTCTTCTTGTTTTGTTTTTTCCCCATAGTGCCCGCCAGCTTTCTGGTATAAAGGGTGACGCTGCTAAAATGATAAAGAAAATAAAAAGGACATCAGGGCACACACTTCTTGGTTAGGTAACAACCAGGGACATCACAGATGACCTTATAATAGTGTGTGCTGTTTATATTAAATGTTATGCCTATTCATCTTCAATACACAATAAAGTTTTCTGATATGTTCAGCTATAAAGTTAGTTTATAAAACAGCCCAATAATCTCACAGCAAAATGTCTTTATTCTGGCATATCCAAACTTTTATATTTATTCTAAGTTAAAGAAGTTCCTACTACCCCTTTCACTATAAAGAATAGTATCTAAGATATTTTAAATTGAAAGAAAAGCAACCCTCCTAAAAATAAGTGTATACATCAAACTTACATACATATGACCCTGGACAGGGTCTTATGTCTCTCCTATTCTCTGAATGCTTCCCATTTCACCACAGTACTGGATTTGAATATATATTTACGGTTGGAAATAGCTTGTCCTATTTATTAAACATCTAGGTTAATTTTATCTTTTATACATTAATATACAATCTTTCTTCTGCATTGTTAAAACACCCTCTCTTTTAAGTCCCCTTTATGTTCTTTATGTAGTCTTTTTTGAATGACACCACCAACTTACAATTTCTAAGTTCTTGTTAACGTCTTATTCAACTTAGTTTATTTCTAAGGCTGAGAACGACTCATAAAAATGACACAATGACCATGAAATTCTCTAACCTGGGGTACTGCAATGATTTGGAAAATAAGTGGAAAAAAGGTAATTATCACAGATACTAGAATCTGAGTTTATTCTTTAGTAAAATACATCATCGGGCTGGGCAATCGCTAAGGTTTTTCCAATGCTCAAATTCTAGTCTGCTATAAATCCATTTTCTTCAGTTCTTCACCCAAATCTGAGTGCTGGTTAGGCTTAAAGCCTTAGGATTACCAATTTGCGTCAGTAGGTGGCACCGTAAGATATCAATATAACAAAAACTGATCGACAAAACTGGCCAAAATACACAAATTGATGGATCACAATTGTCCAGAATTAGCTACAAAGAATTGACAGTATATCAGATGATTCAAGACAAGAAAGTAGTTACTACACTTGAATTTAAGACAATGTTGATTTGGGGTTAAACAGGTTGTTCTAGCATCCTTGGAAAAAGGAGTGTTACTAGCCTAAAGAGAAAACTCTTTAAGTATTTTTAAACAGGTATGTAGAGATACAACACATTTTAGAAAGAGTCCATCTATAGACTACACAAAGTATAATAAACTTTTCATAAAGTCCAGCTCATCATTATGAGCCACCTGTATTATCTACAGATGCTTAGGTCTACACTCCAGATAGTCCCATGTCTGCATATGTGAGCAATGCTGACGTACTAATATAACAAACATTTTTTGTCTAGAAATTTCTAGGCATTGCTGGACACTGGAGGTTGAAGAGAGGTAAGAAATGGTCCCTGCCTTCTTGAAACCTGATGTCTGATAAGAAAAAAGTAGACTCCTCTTCCCACTAAGGGTATGCTGAACTTTTGGTGAGTGGCAAAAAAAAAGTTTTCTGGGGTGTTCTTAGTGTGGCCCAAGGAAACAGCCAAGGCCCTTGGTCCACACAGTTCAGAACGTATTATCTGTGCCAAAATACTCCTCTTCTCCATTTATACACTGAAGTCTGCTTTGCTTTACTTCCCTCCTCAACCCCTGTCTTTCAGAGAAAGTGCCACATGAGTCTTCCTTTCCTTCCATTACAGAACAGACTCATCACTGGACTGAATGTAATCCTTGACTAATTCTCAGCTAGCTTCATTATGCATTTTATTCAGAGGCTGTGCTTCTTCCTGGACGGAGATGTTTCCAGGTTTTCAGAATTCTGATTGCCACATGAGCTGTTTTTTTAATGAGAAAAGAAGTATCTAAATTTCCTTTTGGAAAAATCCAGTGGTGTTTTTCTCCCAAGAACAAGTGCTGCTTCTTGTTTGCTTCCCTGAAGGACTATGCAAGATTCATGATGGCCTTTGGTTAAAATGCAGAGAAAAACTGACAGTCATCTTTAGACAGCAAAGACTACTACAATTCCCTACATTAATTCGGACTTGGAAAGTGGAAGATATTCAATAGACAGAAGGGAAACCAAAAACAGTAACTGTTTGCAAACAATCTCCCTTCCAAGTAATTAAATTTAAGAAAGGAAAGGCATTCTATCACTATGGCTTCAGAATTCAGAGCTATTTAAGGCTCCGTGTTATCTACATTAATAGCTGTATTTGTCTTAAATTCACAAAAAGAAACAGCATTGAATACTGCCCATAAGATCCTGCTACTTTGAACCAAAGTGTCAGGACAGCCTCTGGTTTATTATCTTTGGCTACTGTAGGCCTCTCTCTCCTTTTCATTAGCATGGCTCCAAGGATGAAGAGTCTTGTAATGGTGTAAGAATGTAAGCCTTTACTTGGGGTTGATTAATGATTGTGCATTGAGTCCCCTATACAGAATTTTATTCTTGTTAACAACCATATGATCAATAAATATGAGAGATGCCCTCTCAAAAAAAAAAAAAAAAAATCACACTCCTGTAGGTTTGCTAACCTAGGAGGCAAATGTCTTCACTCGGACTTTTAAAATTTTTTCTGTTTTTTATTTTTTAATACTTCCATTTGACGTATAGTCATGTCACAAAGAAAAAACCTAGATGATAGGAGGGGGAGGAGGTAAGTCCCTGCAAACCTCAACCAAAAATAAACAAATAACAAACAAAATGAAACTAGGTCAAAGTTTATCATTTACTCAAGAAGCCAAAGAAAGCCTTAGAAAAGAAGGGTTTGGGTAGAGAATAACCCATTTGGATTATGCCTTGAAACTGGAGATCTAACACACAGCATCTAATTACAGTTAACAACATGGTGTCATAAACTCTAAAGTTTCAAGGAAACTATATCTTAATTGTTCTCACAACAAAAGAGAAATTATAGTTATATGACATGGTAGAGGTGTTAGCTAATTCCTAGTATATAAATATATCAAACCAACATGTCCTACACCTTAAATTTATGTTATCCATCAATTTTATCTCAATAAAAAATAAATTAATTTCTTTAAAAAATGAAGGAAGACTGCTATTTTGTTCCTTCATTTTGCTTCATTGTTATACTCCACAAATGAGGGAAATCATTTGGTATTTGTCTTTCTCTGCCTGATTTATTTCACTGAGCATAATACCCTCTAGATCCATCCATGTTGTTGCAAATGGTAGGATTTGTTTCTTTCTTATGGCTGAATAGTATTCCACACACAAGATGTGTGTATATATGCCGCATCTTATTTATCTCACAGACTCCAAGAAGGGACTAGTGGTTACCAAAGGGGAAGGGTAGGGAAGGGTTAGTTGGGAGGGAGGGAGAAGTGGATTTAGGGGTATATGATTAGTTCACATGGTGTTGGGGAATCATGGGGAAGACAGTGTAGCACAGAGAAGACAAGTAGTGACTCTGTGGCATCTAACTACACTGATGGACAGTGACTGCAATGGGGTATGAGGGGACATGATAACAGGGGTGAATGTAGTAACCACATTGTTTTTCTTGTGAAACCTTCATAAGAGTATATATCAAATTAATAAAAAAAAATAGAAAGGAAGACAAAATAGAGAAGGAAAAGAGATGGAGAGAAAGAAAAAGAAAGGAAGGAATAGACAGAAGAAAAAATGTCCACTTTCAGTGATCAGGACCAAAACACTAGGGGGAGGGAGAACATGTATATGAATTTGAAGTCACACACACGGTCTCTTGATTNAGTAAGGAAGTGACTGATAATGATTTTCTTTCAGAAAAGACCTTGGAAGGTATGGCTGCTAAAAAACCAATGATTTTTAATTGGTTACCAGAACATGGTTCTGGTAATTAAATAAATTAGCAGGCAGCACCAAAGCTTGGTTTTTAGTGGCCCGGCAGTCCTGAGTCTTTTAAATTGACAAGTGCTAGATGGTACAGAATTTCTGAAGTTAAACACCTAGCAAGTAAAGCTGGAGAACCACTGAGAAAATGCCAATCTTAAGAAACCAGAATTCACTTATAGTGTCTCAATGAATTTAGGAGTGGCGTAAATGTGAAGCCAGTCATGAACTCATAGGACACTGCTGCCAAACTCATGAACATTTTTCTCTTTTAAGAGAAAAGAAAACCCCTGCTGCGATTCTCCTCACACACACTCCATTCCTGTAGTTTAGGTGGTAGAAAATGAAAAGGAGGAACAATGATACTTAAAGACAGGAGGCAATGAAGTATCAGATACAAGACTAGGTAGGCATTTTGTTTTGTTTTTAGGCATTGAGTAGTTGGTACAGCAAAAGCTTCCAATGTGGGCCTTCTCCTGGTCATCATACACAAATTATAAATGGTCACCCAGAAACTCCCATACTGATTTCTTGCAAGCTTGAAAAATCCAACTGTAGATGTAAGGACAAGGAAACATCTACAGACCTCTGAAAACAAACCAGTAGGGCTTTTAGCCAAATGTTAAGGCAAAGCACTTAAAATGTTGGTTTGGTAAGGTGACCATCTTTACTAAGAAAGAATTCACAAGAAAGTAGACCTTGAGAACTTTCACTTATATGAAAATGAGAATCACTTACTGAGTTTACAAATACAGATGCCATATCCAATGAATCAGAAAGTAGGATATATTATTCCTAAAACATGTTTTGCATTTTTAATTGTAATTTAATATACGTGTTCACATTAATAATACAGGAAATCAAAGTTTCCTGGCACCAAACATATCAAAGCCTGTTTCTGTTCTATATATATAAACACAGTTATACATATGTGAAAACAGATACAGTTCTACAACTTGCCTTTTTATATAATGAATCTTTTATATAATGAACATTTTTCCATAAAGATTAACAGTTGCATAGTATTTCATATTGTACATACACACCATACCCTAACCATTCACCTAGAGATGAAAACTTGGATTGTTTCCAGTTTTTGATTATCACAAACAATATTGCTTTGACCATGGCATCTAC